GGGACTAGAACTCACCGTCTCCTGGTGATTGGCCCAAAGTCACCCAGCCGGCTTTCATGCCTAAGGCGGGACTAGAACTCACCGTCTCCTGGTGATTGGCCCAAAGTCACCCAGCTGGCTTTCATGCCTAAGGCGGGACTAGAACTCACCGTCTCCTGGTGATTCACCCAAAGTCACCCAAGGCGGGACTAGAACTCACAGTTTACTGTTGATTGGCCCAAAGTCACCCAACCAGCTTTCGTGCCTAAGGTGGGACTAGAACTCACTGTCTCCTGGTGATTGGCCCAAAGTCACCCAGCCGGCTTTAATGCCTAAGGCAGGACTAGAACTCTCAGTCACCTGGTGACTGGCCAAAAGTCAATCCGTTGGTTTTCATGCCTAAGGTGGGACTAGAAGTCACCGTCTCCTGCTCATCAACCCAAAATCACCCAGCCCGCTTTCGTGGCTAAGGAAGAACTAGAACTCACCATCTCCCGGTGATTGGCCCAGAGTCGCTCCGCCTGCTTTCGTGGCTAAGGCGGGACTACAACTATGAGCCCAAAGTCACCCACCCAGCTTTCACGCCTAAGGCCGGACTAGAACTCCCGGCCTCCCAGTTTCTCGCCCGGCGCCTTAGCCAGTGAGCCCTACTGGCTCCTCATGGGTTTAACGTCTCCCTTCGTCTTCCTGAAGGTAAACCAGAACTGAAAGGCTACAACCTGAAACCCTTGACCGCCGAAGAAATGTGGTTCATGAAGAAAGTGGTGGACAACTGAAGCCGTCCTCCCCCCCCCCGTGTGGATTTTGGCGTGGGCAACCCGCGCCGGAGAGCTGCTTCCCGCGCTCCTGGCGGAGAAAACCGGGTATTTGCCGAGCGGTTGAGCCTTTCACGGGCGTCTTTTATGCCCCTCTCTTAAAACTAGCGAGCTGCCTCCAGATGTGGCCCAGATGTCGTTGACACTGTACGGACAGGTGACAGACATTTGAGGAGGGAGTTCCTCGAGGTCAGAATTTTGCCCTTTTGAGGTTGGATATCGAATGCAAATGATTGACAGTGAGGCTGGAAGACTTCACGTTGATCTAGTTTCCGGGCACCAGGCCCGGGTGACGATCAATTGAACGAGGCTCCCACATCCGTTGGGAGAAGGGTGGAAAATAATCTCTGCTTCGCTGTGGTCGTGTGGTTGTGTTTGTGTACCCACACCCATTGTCTGAATTAAAACTCTTTGGAGATGAAGGGACCGCCTCTTCCCCCATTTCATCCCTGGGGAGATGCTCTCTCTTTACACATTGTACATTGCCCTGTCATGTTGGCGGGATTGTCTTCTTCGTCTGGGTAATTCTTCGATTGGGCTGTTCTTTAATGGAGTCGCTGCATCTAATCCCTCCTAGCACTGATGATGATACCTAGGTGGGTCACAAAACATCTGCAAGGAAACAACTCAGCTTAGAGAGCACCAAGGACACCTCAGTCCTCCTCCTCTTCCCCTTCTTCCTCCCTCTCCCCCTCCCTTCTCCTCGTCCTCTCCACAAACCGCGTTCCCTTCTAGCACTGATGGTGTTACCTACAGTAGTTGGGTCTCAAAATGTCTGCAAAGAAACAACCAAGCTTAGAGAGCACCAAGGACACCTCAGTCCTTCTCCTCTTCCTCCTCCTCCTCCTCCTCCTCCCCCTCTTCCTCCCTCTCCCTCTCCCCCTCCTCTTCCTTTTCCTCCCCCTCCTCCTCTCCACAAACCCCATTCCCTTCTAGCACTGATGGTGTTACCTAGTTGGGTGACAAAACATCTGCAAGGAAACAACCAAACTTAGAGAGCACCAAGGACACCTCAATCCTCCTCCTCTTCCTCCTCCTCCCCTTCCTCTTCCTTCTCCTCCTCTTCCTCCTCCTCTCCACAAATCCCATTCCCTTCTAGCACTGATGATGTTACCTAGTTGGGTCTCAAAACGTCTGCAAGGAAACAACCAAGCTTAGAGAGCACCAAGGACACCTCAGTTCTCATCCTCCTTCTCTCTCTCTCTCTCCCCATCCTCCTCTTCCTCCTCCCCCTCTTCCTTCCCCTGTTCCTCTCCTTTTGCTCCTCCTCCTCGCCACAAACCCCACTCCCTTCTAGCACTGATGATGTTCCCTGGTTGGATCATGAAAGGTCCGCCAGAAAACACCCAAGCTCAGAGGACCAAAGACCCCACAATCCTCCTCCACCCACCCTCCCTCCTAGCACCGATAACATTACCGAGCTTGGTAACGAAACATCTGCAAGAAAGCAACCCAGCTCAGAGAGCACCAAGGACACACCCTGCCTCGTATCCTAGATACTATTTGCTAGTAAGATCAAAAAAGGTTTTTTTAAACGTTTTGGAGTACAAAGATGTTCTTTATGATTTATGCTCATTCCAGAAGGTTTGAATCGGAACCAGGGTGGCAGAAGTGGCTCTGGCTAAGATGCCTCTTTCTGCCCGGCTTCGGTGCAATACAGGGTAGCAATTCTGCCACTCAACGGCTCAAAACATTTTACACACTTTTCCCCACGTTTTGCAGCCAGCCTGGCTCCGGAAGGCATCTCCGCAGCGAGCTTACCGTTTGTCCATTCGGCGTCTGTGGTCAACCTGCCCGTCAAAACTCTTTCAAGCTCGAAAGACGGGACCCCCTTCCAAAGCAAAAGGGACGCCCAGCTGACATGGGCGAAGGCAGGAAAACCCTGGAATCGGTTCCTGGTTTAGCTCTATAAAGCAGGGAGCTCCCCTACCCTCCCATCCCATCTCCGACTTCAGGTCCTTTTTTTCTTTTTTTAAATCTAGCCACTTTCTGGCTGAGCCTTAATTTTTCAGCTGCGCCTGAAACGCCTTGAAAAGTTGCTTCAGCTGTTTCTTCCTGTCGTTGCTGTAACCTGCAGCGGGGGGGGGGGGGGGGGGGGGGGGGGGGGGGGGGGGAGAGAGAGGTCAGATTGTAAAAAGGGTACAGGCAGTCCTTGACTTAACGACCGCGATCAGGACCGGAATTTGCGTTGCTAAGCAAGGCAGCTATGCCCGATTTTGCGACCATTTTTTGTTCTTTTTTTTTTAAAAAAAAACCTTGGTCGTTAACCAAACTGCTGCCGTTGTTAAGTGAAGCAAGTTAAGTGAAGCAAATCTGGCTTCAGCTACAGGTGGTCCTCGACTTAACGGCCACAAGGTGAGCCCATTTCTGCCGAAAAGCGCAAGACATTGGCCGAGAGGATTTTGCCCCGTTTTACGACCTCTCTTGCCTCCGTTTGTTAAGTGGATCGCCACGGTTGATATGTTAGCGACACGGTTCTTAAGTGAATCCAGCTTGCCCCATTGGCTGGTCCAAAGCATAAGCCTCCCACCTCATCAACGCTCCCCACAGCCCTCTGGTGCCATACCTAGGTGTGTGTTTGCTACAAAGCCGTTCATTGGCGTATCCAGATTGGCGTCTTCCCTGCTAACCGGCCCATCGTTCCACATCAGATCAAAGCCTCCGACTCGCTTTTCCTTCCCTGTCAAACTGTTAAGGACAAAGAATGAAAGAAAGAGGGACCTGGGGGGTGGGGGGGGACAGACACGATAGCAGCGTTCCAGTATTTGAGGGGCTGCCACAAAGAAAAGGGGGTCAACTTATTCTCCAAAGCACCTGAAGGCAGGACAAGAAGCAACGGATGGAAATTCATCGAGAGAAGCAACCTGGAACTAAGGAGAAACTTCCTGACCGTGAGGACAATCAACCAGTGGAACTACCTGCCACCAGAAGTTGTGAGTGCTCCAACACTGGAAGTTTTTAAGAAAAGATTGTACAGCCATTGGTCTGAAATAGTATTTATTTATTTATTGTTTATATTTATATCCCGCCCTTCTCCTTGTGGACTCAGGGCGGCTAACAACCAGATAAAAATGCAAATCCCAAAACTACAGATTAAAACATAATTAAAAACAAATATTAATAATTGGTCTGATTAATTAAAATTACTTTAAAAACCCCATTAAAAATTTCCCCTAGGCCAGTCCTGCAAGCTGGAATAACCATGTCTTAAGGGCGCGGCTGAAGGAAGGGAGATCAGGGATCACCCTGATCTCTGGGGGTAGTTCATTCCAGAGGGTGGGAGCTCCCACAGAGAAGGCCCTCCCCCTTGGGGTCGCCAGCCGGCACTGTCTGGCCGACGGCACCCTGAGGAGACCCACTCTGTGGGAGCGTACAGGCCGATGGGAGGTAATCTGCGGCAGGAGGCGGTCTCGAAGATAT